CTTCTCCTGAGGGTTTCTTTTTTAATATGACGTTATGAAGCGATCAGTTGTTCATTTAAAAAAGAATAATCTTAAAAGAATCAATTTTAGCTTATTAACAGCTCTGCGAGGCAGAAATTGAAACTGCTGAATGTATGAATAAGCCCAGTCTATTCATCACATCATGGAGCCTATAATCCTTAGAGAGTGACAGAAATCCACAAGATGTCCCTGAGTGCTGAATTTTGCATTGATTTGGATCTCACATTTATTTGAGAGACCTTTGAAATCATAACAAGGCAGACAGTTCTCTCCTGACTAAATCTCTGAGGAAGTATTTTGGTTATTTTGAAAAGATGTGAAGTCTCCTCCTGAGTGAAACACACTCAGGTTGCTGTGACATGAGACAGGGCATGAGCAGGAGGTGCATAACTAGCAGTGGAAGCCTGCACATTCCCAGAGATCCTTGTGGCCAATAAATACACGTGTCTGCCATAAAAAGAGCAAAGAGCAGACCAATATAACCATAAGTCTGTGTAGATGCTATTGTTTAAAGTGTCACAGAGGTGAGTCCTAAATTTCATAGGTTAATCCTATTTAGTTTTATTGGATCTCCTGGTACAAGGAACAGCTGAGCATTCAGATCTTCTTGAAGCTCCGTATATGCTGACATCAATCCATTCATGTTCATTTTCTAGCTCTTGAAGCAAATAAAAGTATTAAAAACAGTTCAAAATGCTGTTTCTTTGTTTCTTAGCAGATAGAGTGACTTAATAGCTTAAATATAAGATAGGGTGGAAATGGCAATGTAGTTAGCACATTCCTTAAATGAAAACCAATGAGCGGCATTTGCTTTGCTAAGGAGCATATTCTCCTCCTTTCTGAGGAGAAAATATACCAAATGTATTAGTGAGATTAAAATCCCTGTGTCAACTGAATAAGCCTGCTACATGATGACTGCAAACCTTGGTTCACAAGCAAATATTTCAGTGCCTGATACAGTGTCTGTGCGTGTTTTGTATGCATACTGTGTATGTACAGAAGGTGGCTTCAGTAAATCATGAAAAGAAAGACTTTGAGTGAGCAGAATAGAAAATATTACTGAGAACTCTTACATTAGCCAGTATGTGTGTTAGCCTTCAGACAGGACAACATGAACTTTGCATTTGTTTTCAAGACATAATAAAATTACACAGTTTTAGAGGTATTGATTGACACAGAATAACTTTAAATCTGCCCAATATTGTAGCTGGAGAGGCTGCACAGTTAAAAAGCCAACCTAACTTGCCTCTGGGGAGGAGGTGGCAAAGGGAGGAAGTGTTTTAACAAATCAGAAGTAGGGGCTTGTTAAGTCTGGTTTCAAGCCTTCTGTCCTTGCTTTTCCAAACCATCTCCTTTTCAAATAGTTTTGTATAATACACCGCTCTTACCTCTTCACAGCTGACCAGATCTTTACCAACAGAAGATTCTCTTATGAAAGAGGCCATGTTGTTGAAATAAGAGCATTTAACAGGAGTGTCCCTGCTGTTGAAAGAAAAAATATATATTTGGGAGAAGAACCGGAAAAGAACCTCAATTTTAAGCTGATGATTGATTTCATGTGAAGTAAAAATAATGATACACTGTGTTTCGTAATAGAAAATCTTTAAACTGAAGTAGGAATAAAACATTTTTATACTATTAAAATAAAATATTTCAATAAATCTGTATGTGATTTTTGAATTGTGTTTCATGGGAGACTGAAAATTGTTCACTCCATGTCCAGGAAGAAAATAGTCAACATCACATAACTTCCCATGCAATGCCGGTGTTACTTACAGCCTAGCTCCAGTTCTCCTCTGCTGTAGCCCCAATCCCCTGACTGTCTGATGGCAGCTCCTCTCTGCACAAAATCCTATGCAGTGCACAAGATCCTCTGCACAAAGTTCTGTGGAGTGCCACAGGGATGGCTACCTGGTGGTGAAGGCTCCTTGTGTTCAGAAACATGGGACAGTGGTGACACTGGGAGCATGGGTTGATGGTGCAGTGAGTTGATGCTGGTTCTATAGGCAGGAAAATGTTCACGCATGGCACATGATGACACCTCCCTATGTTCATATAACAGCAACAACAAAATGGCAGTTCTAGCTGGTCTGCCGGGGCTGATGGAACATACCAGGCTGCCTGTGTGGGTGACACCTGGAAATACCACTGGAGGGAAAAAGCAATATGATGGTCCTGAGGTCTCTCTGACTCTTTGGGCTTCCAGGAGCCCTTCCCAAAACCTGCAAATATCCCAGGTTCTTCTCATGAGTTCCAGATCCCTGCCAGCTGCCCTCCTAGCTTTTTAGTTATGTCATCATTGGAATCATTTGCTGGCACAGGTTACTCAGAGAAGATGTGGATGCCTCAGCCCTGCAGGTGTTCATGGCCAGATTAGATGGGGACTGGGCAGCCTGATGAGAGTTGACAACCCCACCCATGGCAGGGGATTGGAACTGGGCAGTCTTTAAGGTCCCTTCCAAACGAAGCCATTCTATGATTTTATAATTCCATGATTATGTGATTCTGTGTTCTGTGCCAAGAACAGAGAGTAAACTCTAATTATTAAAGTGTGGAAAAAGGGGAATTTGTTCTCCCTTGAAGGGCACACCTGGATGCCCTCAGGCCTGGTGCTGGCAGTGCTGCCCTGGGCCATTCCTCCATAAGAAACATGCCAGGTCACAGCTCTTTGATTACAAAAAGAGCACAAATATTGACATGGGGAGGAGGCAGCTCTGAGGCAGCATTCGTTGCAAAGCTTCTCATTCAAGCAATAGTTAAATGTTTGTCCTTGCCTCTTTCTTTCAAAAGTAGGACAAATATCTATAGAGTTCCCAGCGGGGAGGTAATCTAACTTTAACTTTCCCCCAGCCAAGTAAAACACCCGAGACCTGTGTTAGGGATGCAAGCAGGTCGTCTGAATTATGATTATTCAATCTGGTATTATTTTAATCTGACATGCCTCTCACGTGCCTTTAAGGAGGCTCATCTTGTCCTTAAAACAGTAATCTCAACGCCTTTCTCCTTACAGGTGATTTATCCTGTTGCAATACATTTATAAATACGTGTATGTATTTATTTTCATAGTGACAGCCTGGCTGTTGGGTCCCCCAGCGTGGTCTGAGCCCTTTCCATGTGCCAGTCCCTTGCTTTGGATTTCTCTAATTGTGGCGAGAAGATAACGAATAAAGAGCCGCGGGGGGAGAGACCAACACCTCCCCGCGGCGGCTGCGTGCTCCGAGTGACGCCTCCTCGTTCGCTTCCAAGACAATAGCCGAAGAAATTAAGGAGGGGGAGAAAATGCCCGATCCCGCCGTGTGAGATAATGGATGAGCGCGGGGTGACCTGTTTTTTTCCTTGCGGTGGAGCGGTGCTGAAGACAGAGGGCACCAGCGACCAGCCCACAGCCGTCGCCCCGCCGCCAGCGCGCCAGCTCGGGGCGCCCGGGCAGCCGCCGGTGCCTGCTTCGAGCGGGCGGCGAACGCCGGCCTCACCACGCCAGGTACGCCCCGGGCTGCCAGCCCTGCGGGGCGCTGCGGACCGGAGAGGGCGAGGAGCGGCCGGGGAAATCCCCCACGGGCAGCGCGGCTCTGCCCCTGGACTCAGCTGCCCCGCAGCGTGTAGTCCCGCCGCTGCGGCTGCATCCGCACCTCTGCGCGGTGCTCGGAGGGCAGATCGGGGGGAACGGCCGGTGTGCCTCGGGCTCTGTGTTCCGTGGCGGTGTGGCGGTGTATCGTCGTGTCGCCGTGTCTGGCCGTGCATGCGGGAAGACAGCAGCGGCTCCAGGCGGGGGCAGAAGTTTGGGGGAAGCGTCCGGCGGTTGGGTCGGCGGTGGCGGGACCGGGGCAGCGGAACGACGGGACGGCGGGGACCGCGGGACGCCCGGGTACCGGCTCCAGGGCGGCGGGATGGGGCGCGGGCGGTGCGGATGCCGGGGCGGCGGGAGCCGGGGCCGGGCTCAGAGCGCCTGTCGCCGGGCGCTGTCCGTGGTTCTGACGGCTCCGCCGCGCAACAGGGACCGCTCTCCGGCTGCCTGGCGGTGGAGGCCGTTTTCGCGGTGCTGGAGGCGGTGGCCTTGCCGCCCGGCCCCGAGCACGGCGCGGAGCCTGCAGGCACGGTCGCCGGGCTCGTCGGTTTCCCTCGCCCGAAGGCTGCCTGCGAGGCGTGCCGGCAAAACGTAGCAGGACTTTGCCAGCCGTTGCCGTAGTAACTGGAGTGTTTTCCCTGGGGTCAGGTGTGCGTCCCTGGTCGGAGTACAGCTTTGCTCCTGACAGGCGGAAAAGTTAAGCTAAAAGGGGTCCCTTTCTTCTCCTTTCCGCTGACCTTTAAATGACATTTCCCGTCGGTGGCAGAGCAGAGCTCTCGCTCTCTCTTCATCCCTTTTTTATCTCGGGAGAGAAAATTCCCTAGCTGAGGACCTGAGGATTATACGTTGGGACGGCAGTAAGGCGAGAGGGGCAGCACTCGGCACCATGTCCCTGGCTGGGGAGGGCTGTGCCGCCTCCCGGAGCGCCGAGTGTCCCGCCAAACTTTCGGCTGTGCCGCGGGCGGGGCGCGGAAAGGCGCGGCCGCCTGGGTGGGAGAGGCGGGCTCAGGAGCTGTTCTCATAAACAGACACAGGGGAGTGTGGCAAGGCAAATAAACACACACCTTAATTCCTCTTGAAACATACTTCAAGAGCCTTTACCGGAGGTAACTGCCCTACGAAAGCATTGTCCTCCTCGAACTGTGCCGCTCTGTTGAGTTCTGATTTGACGTTGAATCCCCAGTGAGCGTTTCATACCCCGTTTCTGTGCCACCAGGTTAAAAGTCACTAGGATGACAGCTGCCTATGCACCGTCGAGAGTTGTGCAGTGAGACGTGGCTGCGATGCTATTAGGAGCAACCGGAGAACCGGCGGGGGGCAGCGGATGCCGTTCCCTACATGTGCTCACAGCGTACGCATCCAAGAGGATCCCACCGGAGCCATAGCCTCACCGCGGACAGCACCGTGCACCGCAATGACCGCTGTGCTGCCTCTCGTGCTGCCTGCGCTGCTGCTGGCAGGTGCCGCGCTGCCACCAGCTGCCGCCTCTGCGCAGCGCTCTGTGGCCCGCATGGACGGGGATGTCATCATTGGTGCCCTCTTCTCGGTCCACCATCAACCACCAGCTGAGAAGGTGCCTGAGAGGAAGTGTGGGGAGATCCGGGAGCAATACGGCATCCAGCGGGTGGAGGCCATGTTTCACACCTTGGATAAGATCAACGCTGACCCAGTGCTGCTGCCCAACATCACGCTGGGCAGCGAGATCCGCGACTCCTGCTGGCACTCTTCGGTGGCCCTGGAGCAGAGCATTGAGTTCATTCGGGACTCACTCATCTCTATCAGGGATGACAGGGAGGGTGGTGGGCGCTGCCTCTCCGACTCACAACCACAGCCCCCAGGCCGCCTGAGGAAGCCCATTGCAGGAGTAATTGGCCCTGGTTCCAGCTCAGTCGCCATCCAGGTGCAGAACCTCCTGCAGCTCTTTGACATCCCACAAATTGCCTATTCTGCCACCAGCATCGACCTGAGTGACAAGACTCTCTACAAGTATTTCCTCCGTGTGGTGCCCTCTGACACACTCCAAGCCCGCGCCATGCTTGATATTGTGAAGCGTTACAACTGGACTTACGTGTCTGCTGTGCACACTGAAGGTGGGTCCAGGGGGAAGGTGGGAGCCCACAGTGCCCATCTGCTGCCCAGGAGCAGATGGGTTCTGCCTGGGCTGAGTTGAGACCTTGTGGTGCCTTTCCAGGGTGTCCTGTGGAAAATAGAGGGCAGCAGGGCTGTTCTGTGGGATTCTAATGTAAAGATGTTGACTTGAACAATGTGTTCATAGTCAACAGATTTCCTTCTTTTCAAATGGCTTATATCAAAAGAAAAGGTTGTTTTATAAAGGAGCGTCAGCTTATAGGTGGGCTGGCTGGACCAACATAAATTAAAGAAATTATTTTTTCTTATAGAAGGCAAACTCTTGTGATAGATTACTGTGGCATTTCTATAGTCCAATTATAGACACAAAAATGGGATTTTCAAGTATAAAATTGCAAAGCTGATCTTATTATTGTTGTAATTGTGCAGCTGTTTTCTTTACCTGAGCATATATCTGCTGTGGATTTGATTTACGATTCCCTCTCTGGTTACAGAGCTGACTCCACACCTTTTCTTCTCACAGAGATGGCTCAGTAAAAAGTGTGAAGAACATACGCTGTTATGAATAAATAAAGAAATCTCCAGTAAGATTTGCATATACAACATGCAAAGATGAATCGGATTAAATTGAATACTTAAGACATAAAAGTGCTGCAATTCTGAAAAAAAAAAAAAAAAAAAAAAAAAAGCATATGTAAGAGCAGGAAGCAATGACCTGACATTTGCAGTTCATTTTATGCCCTGTCACAGATGAGAAAATGAACTGCTGGAAGGAGTGGAACACGAGCTCTTAGGATTCCTTACTGCTGACAGATAGGATTAGATGTTGTGCCAGGCTGGGGTGAAAAATAAACATCGAGGGGGTGAATTATGTGTGGATGCAAACTGCCGAGCTCCACTCCATGCACTTCTGGGGAGCTATGAGCTCACCCTGGCTGAGAGCTGCCTGAGGGGATCTGTTCACTCCGTGCAGATACAACTCAACGCAGGTAGGATTTATCTCTCTAGGAAAATAAAAAACAAAAACAAAAACAAAAACCAAAAAACTATAGCTTCTAAAGGTCATTTGTTTATTCATTTTAAAAGATCATTGTAAGTAGTAATTTCATCCATTGCTCGCAAGAATTTTTAATTCCATATCTATTTTTACAATAGATGGTGACTGAGGAAAAATGGTTGTTGCAAGACATTTTTGCAGTATTTAGACTGATACTTTTGAAAATAGTGGATCAGTTCTGCCCCACGAAGTAACAGTCTCCTCTTAGGAAATGTCATGAGGATTTTGCAGATTATGCAGTTCAAGTTACATGTTTGCTTTTTTTTTTTTTTAAATCTTTATCTGCCATACCCTTACTGTTAGAGTGAGGCTGCAAATCCCACTGCAAATATATATAACAAACCTCAACTTCTTTGCTTCTTCCAGGAAGATGTCATTAACCCCATGGCAATTGCTGATGGGTGGATTCCAAAGGGGTTTTTTTTTTTCCTGTATGAATTGAAATTAGTAGACATGAAATAGCTGTGAGTTATTGCAATTCTGTTACTTGAAATACTGTGCACTCACAGTGAGAGCTGCTTGCTGGTATGTTAAAGGTGGTATTACTCTGCACAGGAAACACAGAGTCACTCTGAGTAATACTTTGTGAATAGGAGCAGCTCCATCCGTGCTATGTTTGGAAATAGAGGGATAAAGTGTAGTTAGAAACATTCCTCCTCCACACTTACTCATTGGCCTCTGCACTGTCTTAATAGTGGGCTGCAAATAATTCTGGGGTCTTACTGGTTGGGGAATCACATCAGTGGGCGTCATGAAAAATTCCTAGGAAGCATGCAGGTTGAAGTTGTGAAGAAGTTTCATTTTCAGAGTACTTCAGGTCTGATCTGACCACCTCTTGAGAGCTGCAGAGATGCTGTTTCTGCTCAGTCTCTCACTCTTATGGGGCCTCGCAGCTCAGTGCCTACAGGCACCCAGCCACAAGAGGATGACACAACACCACCAGCCTTTGGCCTGTGGCAGCCAGCAGTGCTCTATCAGTGACAACTCAGACCTGACCTGAACATCTCGGCTCCTCCATTCCCCTTCCTCTGCTCCCATACACTGGATGGAGCTATTTGAGAGCCCCAAATGATACTGGTCTGCAGCAATGTACTTCTAATGAAAATCAGAAATAAATGCCTCACAGTTCAGTGCCAATTTTCTTATCATGGAGCCACAAGGATCAAAAGATTAAAGTCATCCAGCCTGTGGCATGATGTCTTTCAAATAGTTACCAATATCCTTCTTTGCATGTGATGTGAAGACCACTCTTCTTGTGTTAATGCCATTACTGGTGACTATATTTACCTGTACACAGTCTCTGTGCATTAATACATGATGTTTCATGGTGTACTTTTTGCACCATTGTTTATTAAGGTATATAAATGTTGCACTTGATTAGAAACTTGTTAGTGAAAAAACCTGTTTTCAAAGGCCTGCTTAGCTTTAGATTAAAACTGACACATACAGCTCCACGCTGCAGAACAAACAAAGGCAAGTTACTATGTCTGGTTGTTATGTATCTCAGTTGAGCATACTTACACATGGTGAGAGCACATTTATTTCAGAGTAGGCAGCAGTCATGAAATGATGTGAGAAATCTGTGCGTATGCCTGTAGAAGGCTGTGTGACTATAAAGTAGCTGCAAGGCATTTTCAAGACTATTATTTTTTTTAGAGATTCTTCAAAGGTACTTCAGTGTTGGAGTACTTGGCATGGGTACATCTTCTCAGCTCTTAGGCTTGAAAGGCATCCTCATCTAGAAATGCAGATAAGTGTCTGTCTAACTCCAGGCCAAGGCTTCATATGGAAATCAAAGGTCTTAAAAACACATGTATGAAGTTGGGCACAACTCTACGGATATTCCTGAATTCAGGTCATGTTCATACATACCAAGTGTGATAAGGGCTGTTTCCAGAAAGCACAGGGCACTTATTAGATTGCTGTGCATTACACTAGCTTCCCAGACCCTTAAGATGCCTATATAATAGCTGGTGCTCAGCAGCCTCCAAAAAATTCCTCATCTTTATCCAAAAGGTAGGAGAGATGATGGTTTAAGAAGGCTTTAGATGATCTCGCTTTCCAAGGAGGTCACTTCAGTATAAGAAAATAGAAATAGTTAATGCTTAGGGCTGAATTTTCTTTTCAATTACTGGGCTTACAAAATGTGTGAAAGATTTTTGGTTTTGTGAACAGATCTGTTTGTCTACTGACCATCTGCTATTTATGGACTATTCTTGCACTTTAGTGTACAAATAGTCCTCTACAAACAACATTTAAATTCCAGCAGGTTAACATGTGGACTCGGTAGAAATATCTTTAGAAATGGACCATTTAGTTAATTGCATCAAATTGTGATTATTTATAGCTTTATTTTACTGATAGCACCAAAATATGATCAATTTGTCTGATTTGTGTCACAAGGCTTGAAATAAATTATGACAAAATGAATGGCAAAACTGTAAAAACTTCCTATCAAAGTAGACAGCAATGTATTTAATTATCTTCACAGTGATTTTTTTATAACCTGACTACCACACACAGTGTTCTGGTAACATACAAGAAATTCATATGCACAGTTACATATACATGTCGGAACGAAAGTGGTAAGGAGTAGACCTTGCTATTCGCTGCAGATTTCACAGAAAAAAAAAAAAAATCTTGCGTAGAACTCACTGAAGTAGCTTTAGTTGTGCTAGAAAATAATACTCCTGTTTAAAGATAAGTGGGGCAATATCCAAATGGTTCAAAGGAATAATTTTGATACAATGAAATTGCTTTATTTCTCACAAGGTGTTCTTACAAGCTATTTCTAATAATGATTTATCATTAATTTCTTGGTGTTACTAGGGTTGGTACTTTTCAGTTAAATTATGGTCAGGCAATAGTGAACAGCATCTTCAATTCCTACACTTGAAATTTCAGAATTTACCAATATTTCTATCAACAGCCGTAAAAATTTTCATAACCTCATGAAGTGTGAACTGTGCCTGAGATGTTTGTTCCCAAATAAATTTTCCTATCTATTTTTTTTCCTCCATTTCAATAGCTTCACCTATCATCATCAGAGGCTTCCTGATAGGGAAAAAGGAGAGAAAAATGTCCTAAGAAGGACAAATAGTAATTTAAAAACAGGCAAGGACTAGAATTCTCCCTGTATTGGACACATTAATTATATTTATTATAAGGTGTTGTGCTAGGAGAATCACTTACATTGATTGATGTTGACAAAAATATTGTGTGCGACCAACACTGCAGAGGATCAAGAGAAATTCCTTCTGAAATATATATTGCTTTGCAGTACTCCTAAATTCACAAATAATCAAAGTTTTCAACTGCACAACTGGCAGCTACATGAGTTAAATCACCTCAAAAAACTCATCTAACTTCTCAGCCTGACTTTGCAGTAATATTACTGGATACATATTTATCAGTAGGCCCTGTGGGTTCATTTGTGCTTCACTTCAGTTTTTGTTTGTTTGTTTTTTTCTTGAATTATTCCCCTGTTTTTGGATTTGAATGTTCCATATTCCTTGCAAACTCCTTCAGGATTCTTGTCTCAGTGAAAACTGTTTTTAAAAAAAGTAAAACAATTCTAATGATCTCAAAAACCATGTGAAAATACCTCCATAATTCCTTTGAACTACTGTTCACAAGATGAAGGTGATCATTCTTAGTTTTCTCAGACAGAAAAATAAAAACTGTTTCAAGTGTTATAAGTAGGAATAGTATGATCCATTGAAAAAGAATCTTCAGGGCTCTGATGAGCCACTGAATTGGTAGCTGCAGTAGGAGCTACAAGAATGACTGCACTTGCCATACACAACCTAGAAAAATACCGGTCGAAGTCACTACTAACTGGTGCTCACTGACCTGTGTGAAAAACCACTGTGATTTTCTGGGTGGCAGGTGTTCACAGCATAGGCCACCATCACAGATGGCACTAATTAACACCTGTGCTGACAG